CATGGTAGGCCTACATCTTTAATACTGCATGCAGTTCTGGTCACCCCATCTCAAAAAAGATATATTGGAATTGGAACAGGTTCAGAAAAGGGCAACAAAAATGATTAGGGGTATGGAATGGCTGCCGTATGAGGAGAGATTAATAGACTGGGACTTTTCAGCTTGGAAAAGAGATGACTAAGGGGGGATATGATAAAAGTTTATAGACATCATGACTGGTGTGGAGAAAGTAAATAAGGAAGTGTTATTTACTCATAACAGAAGAACTAGGGATCACCAAATGAAATTAATAGGCAGCAGATTTAAAACAAACAAAAGGAAGTATTTTCTCACACAACGCACCGTCAACCTGTGGAACTCCTTGCCAGAGGATGTTGTGAAGGCCAAGACTATAACAGGGTTAAAAAACAACTAGATAAATTCATGGAGGATAGGTCCATCAATGGCTATTAGCCAGGATGGGCAGGGATGGTCTCCTGTAAAACTGTGACATACCAGGATACAATCCAGACTAATGAGCAGCTGTGTTACCCCTGCCCCCAAACCCTGGGTGCCTTACAATGCCTTGATGAAATAGATCCCACCTAGGCCACTCACAAATAGCCTTCCAGCATGAAAGACTCACCCTGAGTGTCTGTGTGCAACTGCAGCCTGCCAGCCACACTTGGGTTACAATCTGCCTCTCCCCAGCCTTGGTTATACTGCACGGTGACCCCCCAACACACTCCCAGTCCCAGATTTCCCCCAGAAATGTATGTCCTGTACTGCCCAGCCCTCTCCTGGACAGCACACAATATTTGAAGACCAATAAACCTTTAAGAGAATAATATGTCACTTTATTATTTCAAATAGCGACTCAGAAACTTCAGTTTAAATACACTGGCTTATATAAAACAGAAAAGAAGTTTAATAACCACAAAGAGGGATTTTATGAGAGTACAGGAAATGAGGCATAAAAGTCATAAATGATTTCAAGAAAAATAAAGATAAAATGCTTACTAACATATTCCTAAGAAATTATCTCAGTTTCAAAGCAGATTTTTCTCAGCAGATGCGTCAGTAGTCTTACTGACCAAACTCTTTCGGTCAGGACCCCTCCATCAAAGCTCAATGGTGGTGTCATTTTGTCATCTCAGATGCAGAGAATGCAATGGGTAGGAGAAGCAAGGGATGTTTTGGGGGTATCTGCCCCTTCTTTTTATAGCCCTGTCCCCACTTTGAGAAGCATTTCCAGCTGGGAGCAAGGCTACAGGCAATCTATGTGGAAGGGAACTCCATACTGTTTTTTTGCCCCTGCCACCTTTCCTGCCAAAGAATGGGCACTTAGCAGGTAATGGTCCATCAGCCTTCTTTACACCTGGCTGAGGCATCAACTGCCCTTTGTCTCTGAGGAACTGTTTTTGACCACTCCCCAGATTTATCTGGGTAGCTGTCACGGAGTCCCCGGGCGATGATCTGGAACTGCTCCCCACAAAGCCAGTCAGGACTTTGGGGAACCTTCTCTCCCTCGGAGCAGACTGTCTTCAGGGCAAGAAGCTCACACGGCTTCACCTCCTGGGTCTCTCCTGGGAGCATTCAGCATATGCCCCTCCGTGCGCTTCCCACAGCGAGTCCGCCCAGGTGGGGTCCTGGGGAAGCCAAAGGGTTCTGCACCCCCCACTTCACATTCAGACGTGACTCTCGGCCAGCCAGTAAAACAGAGGTTTATTAGATGACAGGAACACGGTCTAAAACAGAGCTTGTAGGTCCAGTGAACGGGACCCCTCCGCTGGGTCCATTCTGGGGCCCAGCGAGGCAGACCCCCGTCTGCCCTCCCTTCCAGTCCCCAGCTAGCTCCAAACTCCCGTCCATCCCCTCCTTCTCTGGGCTTTGTCTCTTTCCCAGGCCAGGAGGTCACCTGATCCCTTTGTCTCCAACACCTTCAGTTGGCACCTTTACAGAGGAGGGGCCCAGGCCATCAGTTGCTAGGAGACAGAGTGTCGGGCATTTATGTACATTGGCCCTTTGCTCTGCAGCAACCATACACCCTTATCCCACCACCTAGATACTTAAGAACTGCATAGGGGAAACTGAGGAAAACATTAAGAACAGTCCCACTTCGTCACAGTAGCATTCTAGTAGGCATGATTTCAGCTTGTTTTTATTACTTCACATATAACACTGATATGTGTATTTTGCCATGATATTGTTGATTAGCAAATGATGAATTTTAAATGGTATCCAAGAAGACATGCCTTGAACAAAAATTACTGCATTAATGTGTAGGGTGTGAACACAGGGGTATAGTCTGTCACAAGAGCCTGGGTCACAACTGCCTTGGGAAACAAATACATGGGCCTTTTGCCCAGTTCCTAGTCACTTCCTGTGGAATTCTCTCCCCAGATCATCTGAGGCAATATTGACCTTAAATAATTGAACAACACTGTGATTGTATTCAGTTATTTCAGTTAGTTTCACAATTTGGGGTGTGCTGTTGTTCATCATTTCAGATGGGAGATATAAAAACAGTTAGTAACACGTCCAATAGCTTGCAGTATTATCTCCTGTTGACTGAACTGAACTTGAAGTTTCTCCATGTCATCATGGAAGGGGTAGGGGAAAAACAAAAATAAAATACGAATTCCCCAATAAAATTCCCCCAAAAATCTAAGCTATAGTCTGGCAAATCAAACTAACATCTGGTTATATGACCAAATGACCCTCAAAAACAAAAACAAACAAACAAACAAAAAAACCATCACAGAGGTATAAGATTCACATAACCAGAAATTAAGTTTCTAATTTCATAGAACTAGAAATTCCAGAGCAGGTTAAATGTGATGACTCAGAATCAAGACAAGAGATTCTCCCATTGCATTCTCCTCTGAGTCGTTCAAACCTGCTTCACTCCTTACTATTGAATTTTATTTAGGGCCCTCAATTAATCAGTTAACTCACACGATTAACTCAAAAAAAGAATCGTGATTAATCGCACTGTTAATTGAAATTTATTAAATATTTTTGGATATTTTTCTGTATTTTCAAATGTATTGATTTCAATTACAATGAAGAATACAAAGTGTGCACTGCTCACTTTATTATATTATTTTTTATTACAAATATTGGCACTGTAAAAATGATAAACAAAGAAATTGTATTTTTCAATTCACCTCATACAAGTACTGAAGAGCAATCTCTTTAACATGAAAGTGCAACTTACAAATGTAGATTTTTTTTTGTTACATAAAGCACTCAAAAAACAAAACAATGTAAAACTTTAGAGCCTAGAAGTCCATTCAGTCCTACTTCTTGTTCAGCCAATTGACAAGACAAACAAGTTTCTTTACATTTACAAGACATAATGCTGCCTGCTTCTTATTTACATCACCTGAAAGTGAGAACAGGTGTTTGCATGGCACTTTTGTAGCCAGCATTGCAAGGTATTTATGTGCCAGATATGCTAAACATTCGTATGCCCCTTCATGCTTCGGCCACCATTCCAGATGAGATGCTTCCATGCTGATGACGCTCATTCAAACAATGCATTAATTAAATTTGTGACTGAACTCCTTGGGGGAGAATTGTATGTCTCCTGCTCTGTTTTACCTGCATTCTGCCATATAGTTCATGTTATAGCAATCTTGGATGATGACCCAGCACATGTTGTTCGTTTTAAGAACACTTTCACTTCAGATTTGACAAAACAAAGAAGGTACCAGTGGTGAGATTTCTAAAGATAGTTACAGCACTCGACCGAAGTTTTACGAATCTGAAGTGCCTTCCAAAATCTGAGAGGGATGAGGTGTGCAGCATGCTTTCAGATGTCTTAAAAGAGCAACACTTCAATGCAGAAACTATAGAACTGAACCACCAAAAAAGAAAATCAACTTTCTGCTGGTGGCATCTGATTCTGATGATGAAAATGAATATGTGTTGATCCACACTGCTGTGGATCGTTATCAAGCAGAACCCGTTATTGGCCTGGACGCATGACCTCTGGAAGGATGGTTGAAGCATGAAGGGACATATGCATCTTTAGTGCATCTAGCACGTAAATATCTTGCGACGCCGGCTACAACAATGCCATGCAAACACCTGTTGTCACTTTCAGGTGACATTGTAAACAAGACGCAGGCAGCATTACCTCCTGCAAATGTAAACAAACAAACAAACTGAACAAGAACTAGGACTGAGTAGACTTGTTGGCTCTAAAGTTTTAAATTGGTTTTTTTTTAGTGCAATTATTTTTTGTATATAATTTTACATTTGCAAGTTAAACTTTCGTGATAAAGAGATTGTACTACATTATTTGTATTAGGTGAATTGAAAAATACTATTTATTTTCTATTTTACTGTGAAAATATTTGTAATAAAATAATATAGAGTGAGCACTGTTCCGTTTGTATTCTGTGTGGCAATTGAAATCAATATATCTGAAAATATAGAAAACATAAAAAATATTTTAAAGACTAATAGAATACCATTTATTTACAATGCGACTAATTGCGCGATTAATCATGATTAATTTTTTTATTCGCTTGACAGCCCTAGCTTTATTTCCAAAAGTTCTAGCATCATCAAAATGGAAAACTGAACAAAACAAACTCAACCTCTCCATCTGCAAACAAGCTCATCTCAGTAAGAAAAATCCTAGAAGAGGCTTTCCCAACAGTTGGAAACTGGGATTTCAACTCCCAGTGATCATGCTGTGTTTGACATCCATTCAAATTCCCCTTGCAAGTCTGTGACACTGTCATCTCAGTTTCGAAAATACTGTTTTATGATCAAAGAAAATAAAATGTGATTCCCAAGCTGAGGGCTGAGAACACTGAATCATAAAACATAATGACAAGTGGAGGTGTAGAAAGTGGAGAAGATAAATTCTATCTGGCTCAAACATAGGAAACATTGCTGGGGTAATTCGGAATGTGAGAATCCCTCCAACTCACCACTTCTTCTTCAGGTGTCTCAGAGGTCGAAATCCCTCCCCACCCCCCAAATCTCTAAACCTGCTCCTTCTCTTTGTTATATTTAAATGTATTTAATATGGAAAAATGGTAGAAAAAATTTCAGCACAACCCAGTGTAATGTGAGAACAAATGGGAATGAGACAATCTGTCCCTAGTGGGGGAACCTGGTGACTAACAATTTCTTTGCAGTGGGAGGAAAAGTATAAATGTGATACTCCAAATATGTTTAGACTAGGAAAAGTGATGGAGGTTATGCCAGGTGTTGAGGAAATTTTCTAAATTATCTTGGCCACCATATATGGGGTATTTTTTAATTGAAAAAATACTTGTGTTTTTACATTAGGATAGGTAATTGAAGCTAGCTAACTCCATGGAAAATCCTAGTGGAGTCAAGGCCCATGTAGGCCTCCATGTACCTAGTTGAGGTCACTCCTGGTTCCCCCACCTGGGATTGACTGAAATTCCAGTTGGAGGGAAACACACTTCCATGACATAGGACAAAGGAGTTGCAGAAAAAGACGGGGGGATTCCCCCCAAGGGAGGGTGAGCTACAAAAGGGAAAAGCACATAACTCAGCTGGGGGAACTGAAAGACCATGGGGACACAAAGCTTCCTTTAAGCTCATTATGTGGGAATTAGCAAACGGAAAATAAAATCTTTCCTCAGCTCTAGACAAGGTTTTTATGGCATTTCTCTCTCTTGCAGCTTCTCTGATGATAAATAAAGGCTGAGCTTTGATGGAAGAATTTACCGCACTTAGAGCATTCATAGGATCTCTCTCCCACGTGGATCCTCTGATGTCTAATAAGGTGTGAGTGCTGAAGGAAGGTTTTCTTGCACTCACAGCATTTATATGGTTTGTCCCCCGTGTGGATCCTCTGATGGCTAGTAAGGGCTGAGCTCTGAGGGAAGGTTTTCCCACACTCTCTGCATTCATAGGGCCTTTCCCCTGTATGGATCCTCTGATGCTTAATAAGGGTTGAGCGCTCAGTGAAAGTTTTCCCACACTCACAGCATTCATAGGGTCTTTCCCCTGTGTGGATCCTCTGATGCTTAATAAGGTTTGAGTGCTCAGTGAAAGTTTTCCCACACTCACAGCATTCATAGGGTTTCTTCCCTGTGTGGATCCTCTGATGGTTAATTAAGGCTGAGCTCCAAGCGAAGGTTTTTCCACACTCACAGCATTTATAGGGTTTTTCCCCTGTATGGATTCTCTGATGGTTAATTAAGGCTGAGCTCCGAGCGAAGATTTTCCCACACTCACAGCATTCATAGGGTTTCTCCCCTGTGTGGATCCTTTGATGGTTAGTAAGGGTTGATCTCTGAGAGAAGGTTTTCCCGCACTCACAGCATCTATAGGGTTTTTCCCCTGTGTGGATTCTCTGATGGTCAATAAGGTTTGAGCGCTCAGTGAAGGTTTTCCCACACTCACAGCATTCATAAGGTTTCTCCCCTGTGTGGATCCTCTCATGTCTAATAAGGTCAGAGTGCCGAAGGAAGGTTTTCCTGCACTCAAAACATTCATATGGCTTGTCCCCAGTGTGGATCCTCTGATGGCTAATAAGGGCTGAGCTCTGAGGGAAGGTTTTCCCACACTCACAGCATTCATAGGGTTTCTCCCCTTTATGGATTCGCTCATGTTTAACAAGGTGTGAGAGCCTACTGAACTTTTTCCCACATTCAACACATGTGTTATTTCTCTCTCCCATGGGGATTCTCTGCTGGGCCGTGGTTTCCTTGTGGCCTTTGTGAGTTCCCTGATAATTAACAGATTTACCAACTTTCTGCATTGGCTGGTTTCCCTGCTGCTTCTCTGGCCTGTGCTGACTCTGACAGGCTTTTCCCTGCTCACAAGTCCTGGACACACTAACTTTGCATCTTTGCAATAAAGACCCTTGTGGTTCCACTTGCTCATCTTCCTGCTGAGGATTCTGCTCCATGGTCTCTCTCACCATCCCCTCACCTGCAAGACAGAGAAAGAAAAATCTCAGAAACAGGAATGGAAAAGACCAAAAGAACAGCTGGCAATGGAAAAAATCAGGGATTGAATTTCCCCAAACTCTTTCTTAAAGGGGAGAGAGGAGGGGATCAATTCTGCATTCAGTTCCTATCCAAACACTTTAGGAGAAGGAAGTTTGGGGAAGGAGATTCTGACAGGAGTTAGGGTGGGTAGGACGCCGTCAGCAACATCTGCCCTGAGGATATGACACCTGCTGGGAACAAGCATGAACACAGAGAGCTCACAAGGTCTTTGTTGGGAATCCAGCTCTTTTCTTCAGGCACTGAGTTGGTTTAATGCTCACTCACCTGTATAGCTGCTTCTCAGGAGCTTTCTTTCCTCTGAGTCCTGGAGATCTGTGGGAAACAACTCTTCCCCTTTTTCCAGCTGGGAGAGGACATCAAGTTTAGAAACTGGAAACCCTGCTAAGGGGAAAGAAGACAAGTGAGATCAGGTGAATTCATGGGACTTTTGTCTCACACACAAAAAGTTCTGTTATTTTAACCCCAGCCCATTTTAAAACAGTAAAATCCTGGGGCCAGCTCCCCAGGGGCTCAAAGGTTCAGGGCACTCTTCTTATGAGGTATTTAGCTGTGCCCATGTCTACTAGGAACATACACAGCCAGACACTCACGATCAAAAGGGCTCTTAAAACCCATGCAGGTAACTCCATGTCGCAGAAAGGGAAGACTCCAGCCAGAGGGGAAGTCCCCCTAGAACTGCTTCATACTGACAGAGAGAGGGCCACAGTCACTGCGGGAGAGACAAAGGCCTGAGACCTGACAGCTGAGGGGGGACACTCAGAGAGGTGAGGGAGGGCACAGAGAGGCAGCTAGCCCTGCCAATCACTACAACCCCTCACGGTCCTTCCTCTAACTGCTCTCACCCTTCCACACCTCCAGGGACCCAAGGAAAAATCTCTCCTTGGGTTCTCTCCTCTCCTCCCATGGCCCACACCCCTCCTTGCTACCAGGTCTCCCAAATTATCTGCTCCCCAACCCTCATCCCATTATATCAATTGTTCCTTAGTCCTGATTCCCAAGAGCTCCTGCCAGAAATGTGTCCCTTTACTCCCTCCCATTGCAAGCACCCCTATTTCCTGGAGCACCCTCTAACCAGCACCCATGATACCTTTACTCTAACCAGCACCAACCCTTCCAGATCCTTGGTTTCCATTGTGTCCAGCCCTTCACAGCATCCTAACTCCCTACAGCAGCTATTCCATGGCATCCCTACCCCTTACAACTGCCCCCAGCCCTCCTAGCTTGTAGGAGGTCTTTGCCCCAAACGTTCCTCTCCCCGCTCTCTAACACCCTCCCTCCCACTGCCCAGGACCTCCCCATTATTATCATTTACTATTCCTGTCACCGTAGCACCTAGTAACGCTATTCATGGACTAGGATCCCATTCTGCTGGACAATCTACAAACAAAAACCGGTCTCTGCACTAAAGATCTGACAACCTAAGAATAAGAGAAGAGAAAGATGGATACAGACAGACACGGGTGTGACACAGTTTCCTGTGATATCCTGGACCATCCTTATTGAATTAAGTCAAACCTTACTGAATTAAGTTCTCAGTATCCTTGGATTTCATTTTATTAAAAATATGAATGTGTATGTATTACCATGGGATGGTCTTTAACGTCTCCAGGGAGGTGACCTGGCTAACATAGACCCTAGGAAGTCTTGTGAGCTTCAAAAGACTCTTTGAAACAACGTGCTAGACAAAGGTAAATGGGATTACTAGGAAATACTTGGGAGAAGGGGACAGCAACTTCTCACCTCCACCCAAAACCTATGGAAGCTGCACTCTGAGATGAAACCATTGGCTGCTGATCACCTGTGACATGAACACAAGTTCTACTCCTGGGGTAATTCTGCACCAAAAATTAAAATTTCTGCATATATTTTAAAATTCTGTAAAATTCTACATATTTTACTTGTCAAAATAACACAATATAATCATGCCATTTTCAATTATTTTGGTAATTTATTTCAAAATACCTGTCAGCAAGTATGTCTTAGCCATACAGACAACAAAAAAGATTCAGGAAATATTTTTTGACAAATAGATTAATTACAAGGAATATTAATACAGAACTCTGAGTAATAATTCATTTAAACTACAATATAGAAATGTATTTCACGCATCCCTTAGAAGCAGTGCAAAAGCTTGGGGGAGCGTGAGTCAGGAGTAATGGAGATGAGGAAGAGGAAAGTAAATGCTGGGAAGGGGCCTGGGTGTGAACCTCGAGGTTTTTTTGGTGTGGTGGGACAAGTATGGAACAGGCTTTTGGGCTGGGGCGGAGGGGAGTTGTACGGCGGAGTTGTACAGCGGGATGGGAAGGGAGCTAATCAAGTAGGTCTCGGGATGTTTATGGGGAGCAAGGAGTAGCATGGAAGAAAGCATAAAACAATACAAAGGAAGGGCTACAAGGGAACTCAAGAAGTTATTAAGTCCAGCCCTCTGTGCTATGACGGATCAAGCCAACCTAGACCATCCCTCACAGGTGTTTGTCCAAGCTGTTTTTTTAAAACTTCCAATGATGGGGAATTCACAACATCCCTTGGAAGCCTATTCCAGAGCATAACTATCCTTACAGTTAGAAAGTTTTTCCTAATATCTAACAAACTGCAAAGTAAGCTCATTAAGGACTTGGCAGAAGATATTTCTGAGTCATTAGTGATAATTTCTGAAGATGTCTTAAAATCAGTAGGGCCTGATGAAAGACATCCAAGAAACTCCAGCCATTAGGAAAAGGCAGGTGTTAGCAATGGGAGATTCGATCATTAGAAACGTAGATAGCTGGGTTTGTGATGACCGGAAGAACCGTATGGTGACTTGCCTGCCTGGTGCGAAGGTTGCAGATCTCTCGAGGCATCTAGACAGACTTATGTATAGTGCTGGGGAGGAGCCAGTGGTCGTGGTACTTGTAGGTACCAATGACATACGGAAGGGTAGGAGAGACGTCCTGGAGGCCAAATTTAGGCTGCTAGGGAAGAGACTGAAATCCAGGACCTCTATGGTGGCATTCTCAGAAATGGTTCCAGTTCCACGCACAGGGCCAGGTAGGCAGGCAGAGCTTCAGAGTCTCAATGTGTGGATGAGACGATGGTGTAGGGAGGAGGGGTTTAGATTTATTAGGAACTGGGGAAACTTTTGGGATGGGGGAGCCTGTACAGGAAGGATGGGCTCCACTTAAACCAAAGTGGAACCAGACTGCTGGCGCTTAACATTAAAAAGGTTGCAGAGCAGTTTTTAAACTAAGAGATGGGGGAAAGCCGACTGCTGCAGAGGAGCACATGGATAGGACAGAGTCTTCTCTTAGAGGAGAGTCTACTGATAGAGATTCTCTAGGTTTTAGTCAGGAGGAGAGGATGGAAGAGGATAAAGTAGGGGCCAGATCAGATGAGAAACATTCACATAAAAAAGAATCTGACATCAGAAAAGGGCAGACAAATAAACAGTGACAAGTTTGTAGCCCAGTGGGCCAGCTTACCTGTATTATATTCATTGCTTTGTTATCCTGCTTTATTATATTTAGTAGTAATGCAAGGAACCTACAGGCTTTTATCCTGTAAGTTTTGGCTTTAGTAAATAGTGTGTGACTTGAGGCCTATAACCTGTGGTATAGATAAACTTAAGTAACTCATAAGCTATAGGGAACTGAAAGTAGCTTTCAAGAGGGGGGGAATTTTGTCCAGAATACTGACATCAGCCACTCACAGAACACAGCTGACCCCAGCACAGAACATAGCTGACCCCAGCATCCGGAAAGTTCGGGACAGGACCTCCGACCGCAAAGCTGCCATGACAGCAAATTGACATGTATGCTAATAGGGTAACATCATACATATACTAACCTATAGAAAACGGACACCTTAAGGGGAGGAAATACAAATAAGGACCTCTATTGAATATGGCAGCGTCAGCGTAACCTACTATAAAAGTAACATCCCAGGGGCAGCAGATAGATTGGAAAGATGTAGACCTTGGGAGGGGCCAGAATGACGGCCACGGGGAAGATGAGGATGATGACGGTGATGAAAGATCAGGGTGTAAGTATGGACGTCCAAATGTACTTTCTGTATTATCTCTATGTGCTTTGTTAAGTTTAAGTGTGTGTATAATCTTTGCTAAATTATTAATAAATCATACATTTATATATATAGAAAGAGTTCCTATAGCGTGAGTGTTGCACCTGTGCACATCGGGGTTCCCAAATTATATGATAATTTTACAATAATCTTACCAGGCCTGATCTTGGGACAAGAACCTGTTAATCCTCAAGTTACAATTATATTTCCCAACTTTGGGTGAGGCTACAAGTTTTTAAAGTGCTTGTACACAAATGCTAGAAGTCTAAATAATAAGATGGGTGAACTAGAGTGCCTCGTGTTAAAGGAGGATACAGAAGCTCCCCGACTTACGCAAGCGTTCCGTTCCAGAACGCCACGCGTAAGTCGAATTTTGCATAAGTCGGGACGGGTCCAACAATTACGAAAAAAAAAAAAAAAAAAAAAGCTTACGGAACTTACGGAACTTTTTCCGTAAGTCCAGATTTCCATAAGTCAGGTTTGCGTAACCTGGGGAGCGTCTGTATTGATATAATAGGCATCACAGAAACCTGGTGGAGTGAGGACAATCAATGGGACACAATCATTCCAGGGGACAAAATATATCAGAAGGACAGAACAGGTCATGCGGGGGGAGTGGCACTATATGTGAAAGAAAATGTAGAATCAAATAAGAACATAAGAACATAAGAATGGCCGTACTGGGTCAGACCAAAGGTCCACCCAGCCCAGTATCCTGTCTACCAACAGTGGCCAATGCCAGGTGCCCCAGAGGGAGTGAACCTAACAGGTAATGATCAAGTGATCTCTCTCCTGCCATCCATCTCCACCCTCTGACAAACAGAGGCTGGGGACACCATTCCTTACCCATGCTGGCTAATAGCCATGAATGGACTTAACCTCCATGAATTTATCCAGTTCTCTTTTAAACCCTTTTATGGTTCTAGCCTTCACAACCTCCTCAGGCAAGGAGTTCCACAAGTTGACTGTGTGCTGTGTGAAGAACTTCCTTTTATTTGTTTTTAAACCTGCTGCCCATTAATTTCATTTGGTGGCCCCTAGTTCTTATATTATGGGAACAAGTAAATAACTTTTCCTTATTCACTTTCTCCACATCACTCATGATTTTATAGACCTCTATCATATCCCCACTTAGTCTCTGCTTTTCCAAGCTGAAAAGTCCTAGCCTCTTTAATCTCTCCTCATATGGGACCCGTTCCAAACCCTAATCATTTTAGTTGCCCTTCTCTGAACCTTTTCTAATGCCAGTATATATTTTTTGAGATGAGACCACCACATCCGTACGCGGTATTCAAGATATGGGCGTACCATGGATTTATATAAGG